CCTTTTGAGCCTGTAATCCTGTTTCTTTAGCAACCACATTACAAGCCTTACCCAATTGTCTGAATTAACCATCTATTTGAACTTTTTCACCTCTTATGAACACTTGAATTGTTATGAACTTTGTAAAAGTTAAAGTGTAGGGTAGTTGGTTTGGCTTTTGAGTGGACCTAATGAAATAAGGAGAAAGGTGCATTGTGTTGAAACAAAAGTCAGAGCCACTTGAATTGAAAAAGAAAGAAAAGAAAAAAAAGTTGTATTGTAATGAAAAAAAAAGAAAAAAAAAATTCTCCGATAGTGGTGACTCTTGACGTAATTGTGCTTAAAATGTAGGGAGTTAATATATATTGATGTGAAGGTGGAGTTATGGTTTGACATAAGTATGGGCTTGAATGTTAATATGTATGTATTAAAGTGCTTAGGGAGGTGTAGTCACTCTTATATCTAAATGTATCCTACCCGTCCCGCAGCCTACATTACAACCAAGTAAAGTCCTACTTGATCCTAGACTGAATGAACTCGATTAGTAGAGTAGTACACTACGGGCAAGCCTATGATGCATCTTTTGTGGAATATGAATGTTATTTATGAGAGTAAGTGAATTCTTTCTATCTTAAGTTCCTAAGTGTTTTTAAATCTTATTATGTGGAATTACTCTCTTTTGTTGTGTGAGGGCACTTGATTCATGAATGAAAGGTAATCTCATTGACCTCTATGTTAGATTAAATGGGTGAGTTGTGAACAATGCATGGTACTTTTGAGTCGAATCTTGAGTGTAGGATGTTATGATAAGGTGCTCAGTCTACTTTAATTATTCTTGGCGTGGTGTATAAGGAAGATTGTTTGATGAAAGGTTATCCCTAGGTGAAGTGTAGTTCAAATGCTCGAGGATTAACAATGGTCTAAGTTTGGGGTGTTGATGTTAGGCTAGAAACCCGTATTTTAGCTGTAGTATTACATTCCAATTACTGCATTTTTACGTGTGTTTGAGCTTAAATGATAGTGAATTACACTTAGTACGTGTTTTATGTCTTGTAGGAAGTGATCCTGAGCTCAAAAGTTAATTTGGAGCTAAATTGATCAATCTGGAGCTTTGAAGTCTGAGTAAAAACCCAATACATTAAGCCGGGATCGTGTTTGGAGATTGTGTACCAAGTCTGGATGTCAAAAGAGGATGAAATAATTTCACTCTGAGAAAATTACACTACCATGCCGCATGGGGCGCCTCAAGGCGCGGCGCAGCAGTGTAAAAGTTGGTCTGACAAGAAAGTGCAAGGCTGCAAATAAATTCCATTCGCGCGCCGCAGGGTGCGGCACAAGGTGCGGCGTAGCTGCACAATTTTTACAGAGCCAAGTCCTATTTCGCAGGAAAGTGTGTTTCGTCTGGGCCCGACCCTACTTTTTATAAATACATATAAAAATGCTATTTTGAGGACTTATAACATATCTTAGACCTAGGGAGACTATAACAGAAGGGAGAAAACGTTTGGAGCAATTTCCAAAGGAGATTAACATCAAATTCTTCATTCCTTCATCTTTACTTTGTAATTTAATTGTGCAAATTATTTGGGAAATTGTTACTATGACTATGAGCAGCTAAATACATAATCTAGGGTTTTGATTAAGGGTGTTAAATGGGTGGGCCGGGCCGGGTTGCTATTTTTTGGACCCGTACGGGTTACGGTCCGGGCCGGTTATGGGTTGGGGCTTAACGAGTTTAACGGGTTTGGGTTCATCCGGGTAGAAATTGAACCGTACGGGTTACGGGTTGAGGGGGCCGGGCCGGGCCGGGTTTAGTGTATTTTTTATTTTGTTTGTATTTTGTATAACTATTGTAAGTTATATTAATACTTTGTATTAATTTAAAGATTACAAGTTTTATTAATACAAAAGTATTAATATAAATTGCAAGTGCTACATTTATTTCAAAATTCAAAATTAAAGTTTGCATTGAAAAAGTAAATTAACAAAAAATAGTAAAACTAAATTTTCATGCATAATAAATTAACAATATTTCAAATTAATCTAACAAACTAAAACATTAAGCATAAATACGTCTAATAATATTAAAATAACACAAATTGTCTTAAAATCTTAAATACGAATTTCCGGAGGACGCTCAAGACAATACTTNATGAGAGAAATTGAGATTGAGAAATGAGAGTTGAGTGAAGAAATGAAGAAGAGGGGGTGTATTTATAGTTTTAGAGAAGGTTAATTTTGTAAATTGAAAAAAGGTTAAATTTTAAAGAAAAAAGAGGCTATTAATGCAATTAACCCGTTGGGCAACGGATCCCTGCCAGAACTTACTGTTGCCAACGGTTTGTGGGCCCCACTTAATTCAAAAAATTAAAAAAAAAAAGATTGTACCGGGCCGGGTTAGCCGGTTTAATCGGTACACGGTGCTGTTCACGTGGACCGAGTTTGACCAGTCCGGTTAACCGTTACCAAAATTTAAACGGACCAACCCCCTCTACCCCTCCTACCCAGCCCCACCCGGCCTTCTATGTACCGGGCCGATCCGGTTTCGGTTTTAACTGGTCTGGGCCGGTCCGGTTACGGGTCAACCCGGCCCGTTAAACACCTTTAGTTTTGATTGAACTTGTTGAAGGATGATTTTCTCGTTACGTTAATATAGATTTGCCATAGTATTCTCTCTATTTGTTCAACTATATACTTATTGTTGTCGATTGAAGGCCCCTTAATTAACTGTTCCTATTATTGTGCATTACTCGGGAGAGAGTGCATGTTTAGGTAGTTTTTGAATATCATCACTCCTAACTTATATGAGAGATTAATACGAAGGGTTTAAAGGTGGGATTAGGGATAACGAAACCTAAGGTGCGATCTAAGTGAGCTGTACTTAAAGCTAGCTAGCGTAATTCAGGAGAATATTTCTAGCATATTGTTATAATTACTCGGGAGAGAGTTACAACAGTTAGAGAGCTCATGATCGATTGAGAAGACTTAGGCAAATTTATAGCAAACGTAGCGGAAAGGATACCGACAATAGGGAAATCAGAACCTTAGATCATTCTAATTCTTGTTTATAAACCGTTCATAGTTAGTTCTTAATTATTGCATTTTCATTACATAATAATTAGTTAGTAAACATCCAATCTGTTACTTAAATATCTTCGAAGATTGAATACGTAAATTTCTGTGAGTTCAATAGTTGTGATTGATAAGTTAATTCCATGTGGGATTTAACTCCAGACTTGTTAACCGGAATATATTTGCAGCGACCACTTTGTCTTTTTTATAAAGCATAGTTGGGCGTGATCATGAGGCTTTTAAGGATATCATCCAGGGTATATTGGTATGCTCTGTTGTAAAAATTGTTTGGAAGTACTGGAGTGTGTGCTGGGATAAGAAGTTGTAATCAGTGATCCAGTTCCCTTCTTCATCTTTAAAGAAGGAGATCTTATTTTTTCTTCTTCTATTAATAACGGAAAGGGGGAAAATTTTAGTGTTTGCATCTCCTTCGTTGAGCCAGTTAATACGTGAGATTATTTTTCAGTAGTCCTCTTCCAATTGTAGAATATTATTAAAGTCTCTAATAATCTCTTTTGCAAGATGTTGGAGGAAACTGCTAGTAGGGTAAGATTGCGAATTTTGAATGCCTTCCAATCTAGCTAAAGTCTTTCTAATTTTGTGGAAGATGTTACCAAAAGTGGCATTACTCCAAATATTTATATTGTTTTGGAAAGTGGCAGTGGCTTGTATGAGATCATTTTGATGCCAACTTTGACGAACAATATTGTAGAAGTCAGCATGGGAGCACCAAAAAGTTTCAAGTTTAAAGGGCTTCTTTGTAGGTCTAGAGATCACATTACTGGTATTCAAGTTTAAAGGGTATTTATTAAACCCCTGTGCCTTTTGCGATGGTTAGACCATGTATACTAACTCCCTTTGAAGCCTAGATCTATTAGGTTGCAAGTATTAATACAAGTTCAAAAGTTAGAGGATCTTCCCCGATTTATTAGCCTCCCACCCCATTTTTATCTTGATTAAGAATTTCATTAAAATCTCCTGCTACTAACCAAGGGCCAACATGTGTGTGCGAAATATTTTCTAGGCTATCCCATAGAAGTCTACGTTTGCTAATCTTAGTACTTTCATAAATAACACTAAAAAGCCATGAAATAGGATCGGGCTATACCTGGATCATAGCATGCAATTCTTGGTCAGTTTGCCTAATATGAGTGACAGTGACCATATCTGTGACCCATATGAAAACGATCCCGCCTGCTCTACCTTGGGCAGGAAACTATAGGAAATCATCAAAGTGGAATTCGTCTTTGAGTCCCACATGATTTTCCATCCTAGTTTCGAGCAAGGCTACCATGCATAGCCTATTGGTAGCTACTAGTTCTCTGAAATTCCTTTTGAAGGCATCGTTATTGTGAGCACGTGATTTTTGCTCGATGAAAAAATACTCCTATAAATTCACAAAAAATAGATTTGTTTTTAATTATTTTAATTTTTATAGAATTTTTAGGAATTTTTTGCTAATTGTTGTTTGTATTTTAGTTGCATGTTTAATATTTTAAAATTGCAAGAAAATATCAAAAATGTCTAAAAATTCAATGCATAACATTTTTAGTTTTATTTTCATTTAGGAATTAGTTGCATTATTAAGCAAAATCACTAAAATGACCATTTTTACATATTTAAACTTTTAATCTTTAAGATTATTATTTTTCTTTAATTTCAGTTAATTAGTTGTTGAAATAGATAAATAATTTTAATTTTTACCAATTAGATTAATTTAGGACTCAATTTATGTTTTAAAGTAAAAAAGAAATAAAAAATAAGAAAGGAAAATGGGCTTATTTTTTTGGAGTTAAATCGGACTGGGCCAGTCTAAATAGCCCAAATTCCCCTTCACAAACCGTGAGCCCTGTTAACCCACTGGTCGTCAATATCCGGCCATAGCCCGCCTTTGTTTCTTCTGTACAAACAACACCACTGAGTATGAAGCCTGTATTATGGGTATGAATATGGTAGTTGACATGGATGTGGAAGAATTGTTAATCATGGGAGATTCTGACTTGATTATTCGGCAAGCTCAAGGTGAATGGAAAACTCGGAACATCAAGCTTATCCCATACATGCAACATGTGGAAGATCTTAGCAAACGGTTCAAGTCAGTTGAATTCATGTACATCCCTCGATTCCACAATGAGTTCGTTGATGCGCTAGCTACCTTGGCGGTAATGTTGCCATATCTGGGTAATGTCCATATTGACTCATTAGATATCCAAATTCGAGAAAAACATGGTTATTGCAATGCAGTTGAAATAGAAACAGATTTTCAGCCATGGTATCATGACATCAAAAGATTTTTGAAGACAAAGGAATACCCCAAGCAAACCAGTGGAGACCAAAAGAGAACCATTAGAAGGCTAGCCAACAATTTCTTCTTGAGTGGAGATGTCTTGTACAAAAGAACTCCAGATTTGAATCTTTTAAGGTGCGTAGATGCTCAAGAGGCTAGAAAGATCATAAACGAAGTACATTCGGGAGTATGCGGGCCCCATATGAATGGATATGTCCTTGTAAAGAAAATCCTTCGGCGGGTTATTATTAGATGACCATGGAGAAGGATTGCTTCAGTTTTGTCCGAAAGCGCCATCAGTATCAGATACACGGTGACCTGATTCATGCAACACCTTCAGAATTGCATCCTATATCAGCACCTTGGTCGTTCATTGCCTGGGGTATGGATGTAATTGGACCGATTGAGACAAAAGCTTCAAATGGGCACAAATTCATCTTAGTTGCCATTGACTATTTCACAAAATAGGTTGAAGCAGTCACTTTCAAAACCGTTACCAAGAAAGCGGTGGTGGACTTCGTGCATTCCAACATCATTTGCTGTTTTGGTATTCCTAAAACTATCATTACAGACAATGCTGCAAATCTGAATAGTCATTTGATGAGAGAGGTATGCGAACAATTTAAGATCACGCATCGTAACTCTACTCCTTATCGGCCCAAAGCTAATGGTGCTGTTGAAACAACAAACAAGAATATCAAGAAGATCCTTAGGGAAAATGATGCAAAGTTCTAGACAATGGCATTAGAAGCCTCCTTTTGTATTATTGGGATACTGCACAACCGTGTGCACATCAATTGGGGCAACACCCTATTTATTGGTTTATGGCTCGAAGCCATAATACCTACAGAAGTTGAGATTCCCTCTCTTCGAATCATTATTGAAGCTGAGATTGAGGATGATGAATGGTTCAAGACCTGTTTAGAACAATTAACCATGATTGATGAAAAACGGATGGCCGCAGTCTACCACATGCAGTTGTATCAACAAAGAATGGCCCGTGCCTACAATAGGAAAGTGCGGCCTAGAAACTTTGAAATGGGGCAACTCGCTCTGAGACGTATTCTCCCGCATCATGAAGAAGTAAAAGGAAAATTTGCTCCAAATTGGAAAGGTCCATAAATTGTAAGAAAACTGTTGTCGAAAAGAGCACTATATTTGGGAGACATCACATGAAATGATCCCGAAACAGCTGTTAATACTGATACGGTCAAAAGGTATTATGTTTGACCCTTTTTACGCGATTTTAATACTCTCCGATTGGGATGACGAAGGCTTTCATTTCTTGCTACCCAAACACTATCAACCCTTTGCAAACCCTTTGAGCTGGTTACTCTTCTTTGATTACCCTCTTTGGAACCAAGAAGTTGTTAAAAAAATGAAAATGAAAAAAATAAAGCAAAACAAAACAAAACAAAACAAAAACAAAAACAAAAGTTTTCCTTGAACTACGTTCGACTTGATTCCAAAAGGATACGTAGGCAACCTCTCTCTGGGGTTCAGTCACACCAAAACAAAAATCAACATTTTTTCAAAGTTGAAACTGGGGCAGAAGTTACAATGATCTGGCATTAGTCTTGCCTGAAAGGTTCTAAATTTGTAATTCAATTACCCAAATCCTATTCAAGTCCTTCAGATCAATTGGTAAAGATGTTCAAATTGGAAGATATGGTTACTTGGATCTGATACAATCAAATGAGAGAAATAAAATGAGAGAATTTTATTGGTGAAAACCCACACGGGCACCTTAAGGCGATGGTAAGCAGAGAAATTAAAAATGAGAGAGTCTTATTAGTAAAAACTCGAAAAGAGCACTATAAGGCGACAAAGAGAGAGATCAGCTGGTGAAAACCCGTAAATGGCACCACTGATCGAAAAAAGGATCCTCATAGCCATCGACATCGACGGAGTCCTGGCAAGGTTCTCAGTTTTGAGGTATGAGTTACGATGAATTTATGAGAGTTGGACGGTTTACACTGATCGGGTATCCAGTCCAAGAGGCATGTCATATTCATTAAAGTCCGCATGCACTCTATATAAGTCCTTTTTTCATTTCACCGAAAGGGATATCTCTCCTCTAAGTTCATTTGTCCGTTTTATTGCTTGATTTTCTTTGAATCCCTTTCGGTCTAATTATATTTCAAAACTAAGATAAAGAAAAGATGACAAGATTGGTTTACAGGATTTTTGTTTAACACAAGCCGATATTCAAGAAGGCACCTAGCCTCAGCATGTGCATCAAGTCGACTTCGACTGGCCATGATGGCCGATGCTTTGGAGTCGAAAGCTCCTGAAAAGAAAGAAAATCAAAGTCAAATGCCCACAAAGGCAAAATAAAGTTGAAAAGGTTAAGTCCCACATGATTAACCATCATTGTTAAAGTTTTGGAAAAAGTCAAGATCTCTAGTTATAGGAATGAAACCAATCCCCAGAGAGCAAGCAAGCGATGGAGATCTTTATCGAAAAAATCGAGCCGAGATAAAGTGATTGAAACGCTCAAGGCCATAAAACCAACCACTACTTCGAAATGATAAATTATTCTTTATTTGAAAAAATAGGAAAACGTGTGTAATTCAAAGTAATCTTGTACGAGGCAGGCGCAACAAAAGTAAACCACGCAGAAACTAAAATGGTTATGCAACAATATCAACCCAAGAGGGAAGTCCCCTCTAACTTATTTACTCACTCTCTTAAATAAAAATGATGAATAATGAAATGGAAAGAAAAGAAAAGAAGAAAACTTCAAAGCCATGGTAGCGTAGGGCCTCCAATCCCTAACTGATGATTTTCCAACATAGGGTCCCACTCCCTAGTTGATGTCAGCATAACCTAATGACTTTCTAACAGAGGGTCCCACTTTCTAGTTTATGCCAGCATAACCTGATGATTTTCCAACATAGGGTCCCACTCCCTAGTTGATGCCAGCATAACCTGATCATTTTCCAACATAAGGTCCCATTCCCTAGTTGATGCCAGCATAACCCGATGTCTTTCCAACATAGGGTCCCACTTCATAGTTGATGCCAGCATAACCTGATGACTTTTCCAACATAGGGTCCCACTCCCTAGTTGATGCCATCATAACCTGATGACTTTCCAACTTAGGGTCTCACTCCCTAGTTGATGGTAGCATAACATGATGACTTTCTAACATAGGGTCTCACTCCCTAGTTGATGCCAGCATAACATGATGACTTTCTAACATAGGGTCTCACTCCCTAGTTGATGCCAGCATAACGTGATGACTTTTTCAACATATGGTCTCACTCCCTAGTTGATGCCAGCATAACATGATGACTTTCCAACATAAGGTCCCACTCTCTAGTTGATGCCAGCATAACCTGATGACTTTCCAACATAGGGTCCCACTCCCTAGTTGATGCCAACATAGCCTGATGACTTTTTCAACATAGGGTTCCACTCCCTTGTTGATTCCAGCATAACCTGATGACTTTCCAACATAGGATCCCACTCCCTAGTTGATGCCAGCATAACCTGGTGATTTTCCCAATCTAGGTTTTTCAATCCCTAGTTGATTTTACTTGCAGACATAGGGTCTCCACTCCCTAATCTTTTTCCCAAGGATACACAATCCTGTTTTTAATTGCTTTCAATAATGAAATAGTATAGAGTTTTGGTTACAAATAACTCATGAAATTTTTCTAGTGAAAATTGGGGCAGAAAAATTTCGTTCGTTTCGTTCGTTTTAGTGTCTGAGCAGGTTTTTACCTCGAGGCACAAATTTTGAGACGATAAAAAGAAGAAGTCTCAATCCAAAATAAAAGAAAAGAAGAAAAAGAAAAGTTAAACCCAAAGCGCAGAAGCAGAGAAGATATGGACTACTCAAGACAAGATTGAGGTCACCAGTTTGCATGTCCCGTCTTGATCCGTAAAAGATGAAAAAGATTGAACCAGCACATGCAGCTAACAAGCATCAAGATCCAGATCAGTTGCTGCATAAAGAACTATCCAAGACTAAAGACCAAGCTTCAAAAATTTACAGATAGGAATCTTGTAACTCGTAGCTGATAGGTTTAGTTAGTTTTCTTCATTTTTACTTCGGTGTAACAAGGAGTTCAGTAGCAGTAACAGCAGCAACAATAGTGATCACAGCTTTCCGGTAGTGCCAACTACCAAAACTTCCAGAACTACACTAACCTGATTCCTTTATAGCCAAGGATATGTAGGCAACCTTTGAAGTAAGGTTCGGTCAAATTTTTTCAAAATTCTTCCCATGGAGTATCTAAACGGGAAAAAATTGCTCGTAATTGCTCACTTTATCTTTGCCCGAAAACCCTTCATGTTTCCAAGCAAAGAGGGGCAGCAACGAACACGTGATTTTTTCTCGATGAAAAAATACTCCTATAAATTCACAAAAAATAGATTTGTTTTTAATTATTTTAATTTTTATAGAATTTTTAGGAATTTTTTGCTAATTGTTGTTTGCATTTTAGTTGCATGTTTAATATTTTAAAATTATAAGAAAATATCAAAAAATTCTAAAAATTCATTGCATAACATTTTTAGTTTTATTTGCATATAGGAATTAATTGTATTATTAAGCAAAATCACAAAAATGGCCATTTTCACATATTTAAACTTTTAGTCTTTAAAATTAGTATTTTTCTTTAGTTTTAAGTTAATTAGTTGTAGAAATAGATGAATAATTTTAATTTTTACCAATTAGATTAATTTAGGACTCAATTTAGGTTTTTAATTAATTATGTTTTAAAGTCAAAAAGAAAGAAAAAATAAGAAAGGAAAAGGGGTTTATTTTTTTGGAGTTAAATCGGACTGGGCCAGTCTAAATAGCCCAAATTCCCCTCACAAATCACCCAGCCCAGTTCCCGTAACCTAGACCGGTCCAATCCCCAAATTAAACCAAAATGATGCCGTTATGCAACGCCCAATCTCAGCCTTTGATTTTCTTTGATCGGACGGCTGAGAACTAATCCTCTCAAACCCTTATAATTTTCCTAACAAGACCCCCAACCCAAACCCTAAAACCATCTCTCACTCTCTATCTCCCTCAACTCATAGAAACCCCAGCCGCCAACCGCCGTCTGCTGCCATCATAAATCGCCCCACGGCGGTGGCGACACCCCAATCCTATCCAAATTCATACCAGACAACCACCACACTCCCCTAATTTTATATCTACCACCAATTTTCCCAAAATCCCCACCCATTTGCTTCAATTTCAAATCTGAAATTCCAAAAAAAAGAAATCCGTCCTTTTCTGATTTCTTGGGCGATACCATTCGTTTGGGTTATAACTTACGTTAATCGATTGCTCTTAGCGAGAGCAGTTGATTGATATTAGTTTTAGCTTATTTCGAGGTCATCGGAATTTGACCAACCCACCAGAATCTGGCCAGTGTTGGTGTAGCAATTTCTTTGGCTTGCCGGAAACTTCTTTTCTTTTGACAATCGGTCTGAGCATTATAGGTATCTCCTTCTTCTGTTTT